GGCGAAGGTGGACGCTAGCAGAGTGGAGAAACGGCGTTTCGGATTTATGTACCATCGTCAGACCCACAATTCGCTTATTGTGCTCTTCGTCGCCATTAGACAATCGCCTCGATGAGCGGATGCGATGAGCGACGACGGATGAACGTTTGCATGCACAGGAACGAAGAAGAAACAGGCCGTACTGGTCTTCCTTATTTCACTAGTCACCGTCTTTCAGAGGCGGAGGTGGGCCAGGGATTCAGAACCAAGTCTGGTTCATAAGGTAGCTCCGGGCTCAGGCACTCTAACTGCCACTGCATCAGTCTCTGTCAGTTTACAACACTGGATGGCCCGTTTACGCGGGCCACACACTTGACCCGCCCCGCAAGTGCGTGTATACTGGGCGGAGAATGCTTCGTAAAGGTCGCCTTAAGTGCTGCACTATGGTCCAAATTCAGAGGGAGGGAGGAAGGGGGAATTGTCCTGTTATCTGAAGACTTTCCGACCTGCGAATTTTAACGCATTACTGTGGTAAATAATGCGTAAAGTTGCCATGAAAAGCGCAACCTGTTCGCTGGACAAACACCTTAGCTCACACATGTTAAAAGATCACTTAAGTGGGGTTGTAAAATTAATCAAGGCCGGTTTTGAGGAGTGTTCACTCATTCGACCGGATTGCACGACGTGGTACGCGAGAGTCTTGTCGTACTAGCGATTTGGTTCGGACCTCTCGTATGTGATCGCAAATGATTGGCTAACGATGTCAATTAAATCACCAATGATGGTCAAGTTTTCCATGTCTTTGCTGGTCATACTTCTGCATTACAAATTGACCATGTCTACACGACCGTCCGCAAGGACCCAGGATCTGGTCCTGATGCACATCGAAAGACCCGGCCGCCTTTCAGATCACCGTTATGTTGTGTGTTTGTATGGAGTGGCCGGCTGGTCGTGTAAGAGTCAGGCTGCAATAGCTCCTTCTTAATGCGGCCGTTATGACACCCACTACGTGGGATCCGAGCTAGGTGTGACGCCACGTCCAAGTGCGACTCCGGCCGTGCCAGCCAACATTTTGTTGTTGATTAAAATCTTCATCGTCTGCTGTGTGGGCCAGGAGGTCTTCTTGACTCTGTCTTGACACCGGGTCCAGGTGGGGAGGGGAGAAGTGGGAGTGCGGAGGATGCTGCGCAAGTCTACATTCACTACAAATTAACTTACGCGCAAGTCACCGTGTCTGCTAAACCCTGCTGTGGAGCCCACGGCAGACATCGTCAAAATCGACGGTCGAACCATCGTATGCTCTTAACTTCATTTTTTCCTCAGACAGATGTAAGAGGGAGTGAGGTAGATGCTGTGCAAGTCTGCTTCACCATGGTGTGGAGCACGCAGTAGACATCGTCGGCAACGATGGTGTGACACTGAATATTCTCGATCGTAGCTGACCCAACCGTTAGGGTGTAATGGGTCCAACTTAAAATCTCAGGAAGGGAATCTGGTGTTCAGACGTCTCTACTTCCACTAATTGACACCGCGAGCTCATTAGTAGGCAATACTGTAAGATCCATTGGGCGCATGTTTAATTCACTTCTACAGTGAGTGACCGATTTCGTGAAATGTTGCCTGAAATTCTGAAAGGCGTTTTCGATTAGAAAGGATTACTTAGGCGCGGTTGCAAAAAAGATTTTATTGTGGCATAATTCTATGATATTTCGGAATCGGCAGGATGTCGGCTTTTGAATACACTGCTTTTGAATCTCCCGTAGAAACAGTATTCGATAAGAAATGACTACTTAAATAGCAGGCATTTTTTCACATTGATTTTCGATGGTCTTGAAAATTCAAATATATCTTATAGAAACCCCGAACAGAAATATGTCTTCTTTCGGTCGTTTGATAGAGAATCATGTCGTCTTTATAGTTTTTGCTCGAAGATGGAGTATAATTTGGTTTTAAAAAAGTTTCTAATTATGAGCTTTTTCAAGACCGTGCAATGTCCATTCATACAGCATCGTACCTGTCTGTATACCATTGCTCCTCATTAAATGTACAACATGGTCCGCATTCATTGCAAAATTTTATGGTTTCTATATTATATCTTTTTGAAAGCCTAGAAGAATATGTGATTTTCCTTGCGGGGAACACATGCATCTTGTAGACTGAAATCACTAAGTGCTAATGCAACGGCTGATCCGGCTCCAAATTATTCGGGAATTAAAAAACTTTTCTAAAACCTAATTATACTCCTTTTTCGAGTATGAACTATAAAGTAGACGCGATTCTCTATTAGTTGACTGGAAGAAAGCCCATTTTTGTTCATGGTTCCTATTAGATATATTTGAATTTGCAAGACCATCAAAAATCATTGGGAAAAATGCATGCTAATAAAGTAGTCATTTTTTTTACCGAGTACCGTTTCTACAGAAGATTAAAATGCAAAACCTTCAAGAGCTGACATCCTGCCGAGTCCGAAATATATTAAGACTATGTCCTATGATAATGAATGTTTCAAACCGACCTACAGTGCGTGACCTATCTCATGAAATCTTGGCTGACATTCTGAAATGCGTTTTCGATTAGGAAGGATTACTTGGTCGCGGTTGTAATACTGATTATTTTAAGGCATACTCTTATAACATTGTGGACTTGGCAAGATATTGGCTTTTAAATGCACTTCTTTTCAATTTCCTCTAGAAGGCGTGCTCGGTAAAAAATGACTACTTAATTAGCATGCATTTTTCCCATTGATTTTCGATGGTCTTGGAAATTCAAATATATTTTATAGAAACCACGAACAAAAATATGCTTTCTTTTAGTCAGTCAATAGAGAGTCACGTCTTCTTTATATTTTATACTTAAGGAAGGAGTATAATTAGGTGTTAAAAAAGTTTTCTAATTGCCGAAAAATTTGGAGCCTGATCATTCGTTGCATTAGCGCTTGGTGATTACCCTCTACAAGGTGCATGCGTTCCGCGAAAAGAAAGTCACATATTTTTCTATGTCATTAAAGAGATATCATACAGGGTCCATAAATTTTGCAATGGATGCGGACCATGCTGTACATTTCATGAGGAGCAGTGGTAAACGACCAGGTACGATGCTATGTGAATGGACATATCGCGGTCTTAAAAAGTCTCATAATTAAAAACTTTTTTAAAACCCAATTATACTCCTTCCTTAAGTATAAAATATAAAGAAGGCGTGACCCTCTATTGACTAACTAAAAGAAAGCATATTTTTGTTTGTGGTTTCTATAAAATATATTTGAATTTCCAAGACCATCGAAAATCAATGGGAAAAATGCATGCTACTTAAGTAGTCATTTTTTACCGAGCACGTGCAACTAAAATACACCCATCCTTCCTGCTGAACAATAAGAACAGTAAGCATGCTAACTCATGAAGCGTCAACTGAAATCCTGAAACACGTTTTCGACTCGAAAGGATGACTTAAGTAGGGGTGCATAATACCATGCTTATTCAGTTACTTCAGAAGGTCGGCTTTTGGATAAACTTCTTTCCGGCCACCAGCAAAAACCACACTCTTTAACGATGATATCGCATGTAGTAGGAAGTTTGCTTATTGAATTCCGATGCCCCTGTAAATTCAGTTATATTACATGAAAAACATGCATAAAAGTATTCATTCTTTTGCCCACTCGATAGAAAATTACGTCTTTTTCCAGTTTTATACCCGAAGGAAGGATATAGTTCGGTTTTAAAAAACTTTTTTAATTCCCCAGTAATTTTAAACGCGACCTACCGTTACATTTGCATTCAGGGCTTCTAAAATACATACTGTGTATTTCCTTGTAAGGAAAATCACACATTTCTATACGGTTTTAAAAGGAGACTATATGGGGTTCATGAAATTTGGCAGTGAATTTGAGCCATATTGTAAACTCTACAAGCAACATTAGCAAATGCAGAGACATGATGTTTCATGAACGAGCATTTCACGGTATTAAAAATCTCATAATAAGGGACTTCTTTAAAACAAAATTATACCCTTCCGTCGGGGACAAAATGGAAGGATACGTAATTGTTTATCAAATGCTTAAAAGAATGAGTATTTAGGCGTGTTTTCCATGAAATATAATTGAATGTTCAAGGACATCGAAAATCAACGAGAAAAATGTATTCTACATAAGTAGTTAGTTAGTTCAGAAGCTGCCATCCTGAGGTAATTGAATTATCGTGGTATTATGCTGCGAGGTGATTAATATTACAACCCTACTTAAGCAATGATTTCGAGTCGAAAGCGTGTTTCAGAATTTCAGTTGACATTTCATGAGTTAGCATATCTTCCGTAATACTCTGCATGTCTAATGAAAAACGCATTGGCTTGTATATGAGTGCATTTGGTAAAATCCAGTGAGATGAAAATATAGATATTAGCCAAAACATGAAGCTGGCAAATACAGAAAAAGTAAGCTTGGGTGTTGGTTTTAATACAGTGGTGGTGATTCCTCAAAAATGTCTGCTTTTTGCACTACCCCCATTGACTTTTCGTCTTTAGCAAGTCAAGTCACGTGACGGGACGCTCAGCAGGTCATGGAGGCATTGAGGGAGAGATCAATTGCGGAGGCGTCCGCGGGCGCTGACAGGAAGCGATCATAGAAAACATCTGTCATCTTCATCAGTCCAGGATCGTACATCGGCGGTACTGGTTGCTCTGCCTTGCGCAATCGTTTGCACTGTGGAGACGCGGAGAAGAGGTCCTGGGCCACCGCTGCCGCTGCGGCAGCAGCTGCCACGGGATTGGTCAGACAGCTGACAGGCGCATCGGCTCCGCAGCGCAGCGCCGCTTTACCCTCGCTCGTCGCCACCCCATTGGTCCGACCGAGTGTCGCCGCCAGGAGGACCTCATTGATCGACAGTGGGGGCATGGCCCCACTCTCGACCAGGTTCTGCACCGAATGCTGCAATGGGGATCGACTGAAGGCGGCTTGATCACCGCCTCGAAAGGTGGGCAGAGCGTCCACACTGGTGGGGGAGATGTCACAACCGGCCTGTGTGAACGGGGGGCCCGCAAAGTCGGCCGCACTAGGCGACTGACTGACCGCCACCGGGCCGCACGTCAAATGGAAACTCTCCGCTGAGGCGGCAGGCGGGAAGGAGAAGGGCATTGCGGTACCACCAGAGGACAGTGATGGACGACCCAACATCCACCGCATACCGGGTGATGTAACTGCAGCAGCAGCGGCGGCGGCGGCCGCAGCCGCCGCCGCCGATCCGAAATTACCAAATGCTGATGGCGGTTCTGCCGAGAGGGCGGTCGTTGTCGACGTCTGTTTACCCTGATGTTGCTGCTGCTGGTGGTGGTGATGGTGGTGCTGATGATGTTGTGGGTGGTAGTTCGTATCGCGACCACTGAGGGGGCCGTGGACAGGATGCGGGCTAGGGAAGGCAGAAGCGGATGAATTGGCCGAGCACTTGAGCTGGTGCCGGTTTACCGCGCTGATGCAGGTGAACTGTTTGCCGCAGATGCGACATTGCATCTCCGAAGTGCGCAGATGCAGTTGCAGATGGATGATTTTCATGTGGTAGCGCATGCTGCTCTTGATGTCATACATCTTGCCACAGAATTTGCACTTGAAGACCTTGCGTCCGTCGATAATGCGCTCGCATTCATC